AGCCTCAAGCGGAGGAAGTGAGTCTTCAGGGTGTGTAAGCTTTTTCATCTTTCATCAAAGTTCCAGCTTCCTTCTAGGATTACTCATATAGGATGCCCCTTATCTTGCGATAGCGCCCAAGTGAGTTCTAGGCTTCTGCAACTGTAGGAAAGTTGAGTAGCGGTGGAGTCAGCAGGGATTCTGTTATCTCGACGATTAGTTTTTGTATACAATTATTCAATCAAGGAAAACTATTTCAGTCCTTGAAACACTTTGTCGAAATGCTTCAAAATCTGTATACATATCCTATTTATATGCCGCGGTTCTTCTTTCAGCAGATGTACTCCACCAACATTCAGGTAAATTCATATTTTTGCCTTACTTCTTTCTTTTTTTTCCTAACTGGCAATATCATATGCAACCTAAGTTCCATTTCTTACAGATGTCTGTGTCTATTCATTCACAAATCAAAGATAGCATTACGGTATCGATAACGGATACGATACCGATACAGGTGGATGGTGTTATTTCCACCACTCATACGGTACCGGTGCATTCGTTGATAATCACTGCGAGTATGCAGTTTCCTACGATGCCATCGGTAAGTTGGTATTGAATTCAAACATTTTTATTGTTACATCTTGTACTATCGAACGTTTAAAAACTCCTAAAAATAGTAGGCCGCGTTCATAGTTCGCGACTCCGGAGATTAGGATAGTACGCGACAATGAAAAACATATGTATTGACGGGGAGATTAGGATAGTAGTAGAGTAGGAGATTAGGATAGTAGTAGATTAGGATAGTGCGCTGACAAGATTAGATATGTATTGATCTATTCGCTTGAAGTCGCCCAATCTACTACTCTCCAGCGATTTCAATCGATACGTATCCAATCTTGTCAGCGCAATCTCCTACTCTACTACTATCCTAATATCCTGTCGCCTACTATCCTAATCTCCCGAGTCGCGAACTATGAACGCGGCCTTAGCAGTGACTTTGAAATTCTATGACTTTTCATGTATGCCGTGAACAGGCTAATAT